CTCGACACGAAGGCGAAGCTGCAACGTCGAGGCGAACAACAAGCATGGACCATCGACTCGGATCATCGGCTCTGAGGAAGACGAAGACGTCGAAACGTTAGCCGAAAATGGATAAATATCATTATCAACCTCGTGTAAGCTTATCAAAGAAAGAATACATATTGATTATTGATACCGAGGTTCAAGGAAAGTCGGTTTCGAAATACTACTTTATGTGTTTACTAGTTAAAAGCAATTTTTCGCTTTTTACAAAGCAAAAGGCATTGCCTTTCGTTCAAGGCAATTTCGTTCCTTATCGAATGGTTTACTCGTTCAATTTGCGCATTGTGAATGTAGCCGCTCAGTGTTACCTGCTAACTCATTCAGCTGCACTTTTAACAAATCGAAAAGTGGTGAAATCACCTATAAGGTTAACAACCTTACCCATTGCACATTTATTCCTTCCATAAAGAAAGCTATTTCGAAATGTATCGCCCTGGGTGACTACTACATTCATAATGCGAAAGAAATAAGATTGCGCGATATTTTCCATTTAACAGAATAAGCCTTAAACTTCAAAATTGGACGTGATTTGGTCATTGATTCAAAGAAACACTGCTTGTTGCAGGCTGCATGCTTGATACTTGATGCTTGACACTTGATACATGAATGGATCTTCCTCACTGGTTGTGCGGACTCCAATATAAGCTACATTTTTTGGAGATTTGCTGGTTAAGCCTCCATGGTTTCCTGGAATCCCGAAGTCAGCCTGGCCAAAGTCTGCCCCAGGTCTTCGCCGCCACAAGTAGTCGCCACTCTTGTGAGTCAGAGGCAGATTTTACCACCATTATACTTTGGTATCCGGACGGTGGTGGACTCTGGTATTCGTTTACTTTTAGCTAGGCTTCCTGATATAATCGCCGGATTCTTCTTCAGCTTTGGAGACACTGCCAGGGTATGAATCCCCGCTACACATCGCAGGCTGACACCCAGAAACACCTAACAACCACGTTGAAGTGGTAAACCGTTGGGAGACGTTTCATAAGATCTTAATTCCCTACTTCTTACTGAAAAGTCGGACGAGTGATCCGTTTATTGCTTTTTGTAAAATACAAGCAATAAGTACGTGAAGTATCTATTGCTAAAAACGTTTTACTCTCAGTATTACTCAAGAAATCATATGAAAAGCCAAGCAAATTGAACTTATTTCGCTTTTTGAAAAAATTCAATTCTTGCCATGATAATGATTTTTGCGATGAATTAGTAAAACAAGGGAACGGGTAGCGCAATGTTAGTTATTTTGTTGATAAAGTGGTATGAGACTTTTCTTGAATAAGATAACTCCACATCAGGATTTCCGGGTAAATCATTTCGACCAACATTCAACGATGTTCATAACGAGGACGAAAATCTTCAGTTTTGCAGAAAAAACGTTCGGAAAGTTTCCTGGACGTTGCGGATGTGTGGAAGTGAAACGAATGTAAGAAGTGCTAGAATCAGCACACTAGATGTGAAAGACGTGCCGTGTAAAACTATTATAATGATAATAATAATAATAATAATAATAATAATAATAATAATAATAAGTCCATAGATGTTCATCTCGATATGGCGACTTCGAAGTCATACCGAGACGGATCTTCTGCAGTGAACACCGCACGAGTGAAGCAGCTCCGCTCGGCAGTACACTTTCATACAGGGCTGTCGCTGTTGATGTGAATATGCGTTGCCATTACCACTGCCATTACAATTACCATTTACTTCCTCATTTAACTTTAATTTAAACAAGTTGTGTCGTTTTCTTGTTCATCAATCGCGAGGTTTTTAAACAGCATACATTTACTTCCATAAGAACACAATACAATACAACTCTAGCTGACGTTTCGGCAGTATCGCCTTCTTCAGAGCCGCTTTTTCGTGACTTCCAATGAGGAAGTTTAGAACAGCTGATTATAATCGCATGTGGTTGACGACTGCGCCATCCCACATCCTTTTTTTTCTTCCTCATTTTTCCAAACTTCCTCATTGGAAGTCACGAAAAAGCGGCTCTGAAGAAGGCGATACTGCCGAAACGTCAGCTAGCGTTGTATTGTATTGTGTTTTTATGGAAGTAAATGCATGCTGCTTAAAAACCTCGCGATTGCTGAACAAGAAAACGACACATTCATATTCCAATGCCGAGCTTAAGAGAAAGTCGATCCTGGGAACTATTAAACAAGTTGATTATTTCACAACCAAGATTAAATGACGGTCGATTTGAAAATTGTTCTACTATTCGCTTCGTGCTAGCTGACATAATACCGACTGCTGCAGGGTGGATTATCCGTTGGGAAATAAACGACACAGAGAACGGATAGTCATAACGGCACATTATGAAAGAGTACTGACGAGTGGAGCAGCCTCATTCGTGCGGTATTCACTGAGGAACATCCGTCTCGGTACGACTACGAAGACTCCACATCGAGATGGCGACCACATGTGGACCACAGACTGGCATCATCGGCTCTGATGAGGACGAAGACGTGGAAACGCTAGCCGAATAAAACAGTTTTGTCGAATTCGTGTAAGCTCAACAATTTAAACAAATTGTATAAATTGTATTTACAACACTGCTTACTATATGTTACTGCGGTGACTTGGGAAACATATTTCGGCAAGCAGTTGGTATTGTCCTGCACCTTATGCTGTGTCTATTTCTTTGTGTTTATAACCACACATTCTATTCAATAACTGTGACATAATATATCAACCACAGCCGAAATGAGAGTCAGTTGCCTGTCAAATTGTCAACCACTGAATTTCTTCGAGAAAACTCTGTTGTACATCTCCAAGTGCAGAATAAGGGTTTTCCCCAAACCAAGTGCGTCACAACGTGTGTGCTGGAAAGGCTATCGATCAATGATTGTAGGAAAATAGTTCTGTGCGCTAAAATAAACCATCGGAAAAAAAATGGCTTCGAAATACCTTGCATCGCTCACTGCTACTATCGCGAATGATTGTGAAGAACGCAAACCGTGCGTAATATGCTGAAGGACTCAAGTGTATAGCACATACATAAGAGATAGATTAACGTCGAATGCTGTATCCTTTATCCTTTAAATGTTATTCGCCTTTACGCGCTAAAGATGTGGGGTTGTAAATTTTGCACAGATAACTCACTCTAGCAATAGAGTTAGCGACAGTGACATCCTTTGAGACATTTGATGGCATGAGGACTTCGCGGGCGGAATAATTCGCATCTTGTCCAAGTGGTTCAATCTCAGCTTGTTGTTTGGGCAACAACATCTCCGCGATTACCGTTATTACTTTTTTTCAGAAACGCCGACGCGTTCGATCGCTTGTCTATCGAATCGCCTAGGCGGTGAATGCATTGGTTCTCTACTGCCGTCTCACTGTATTCAGTCACCATATTAACTGGCATTTTTGGTAATACATGGGTAATCTTCTCAATAGCTAGAAGTCGAAAACCAAGGTTTGTGTTACGATAGTATTTCTTGGATTATGCTTTTTCATATATTCCCGGATACTTTAGTAGGAACATAGCAGCTACGAGCTGATGAAACTATGCAGCTCTAAACCACTGGCTTCTTCGTCAACTTTTACTGCATTTCTTTAAATTTAGATAAAAATTAAATTTTAAACTTAAAAATCATCATTCCTTTATTCTCCGACATTTCACCGCTCTGCCTCAAAAACAACACTGTGTAGATATCAAGATGTTTAACTTTTATTTACTACCTATTCCGTTTTCATGGCGTGGTACTCGGAGTTGATCAATCCCTTAGGGATGCGCCATGCACCCGACTTCGTTAAACATCGTTGGAGGTGATTGACTGCATATCTGGCCTTTACAATGACTCGCCTTGGCCGACCGGTGTATCAAGCTGGCAGTTCTCCCAGACAAGTCTGGCACTAATTTGCTGACCCTAGAGGCATGCAAAGCTTTGTGAGCCTCGGGCGGGGGGTTGATCCCATGGGTGTGTTGCAGGGCGCGTCCGACCACTGTGCCACACGCGCACCTCATGGCATCATGGTATTGTGCGAAATACAATCACAAAGATCCTGAGATATAGGCAGACGCGATCCTCGGTCAAGTTTCGAATCCACGACTACCCTTGCTCATAATGAGCAAACATCTTTATAAAACGACTGTAATTAAACATCGACATGAATAATTGACATTTTGTAGGCTTCACACTACAAGCAATAACGTTGTTAGCATTTGATTAAAATCGTTGTTCCGAAGAAAGCAAAGCTCCCAAAACATTAGTGGGAATAAAAGTTTTTGCAACAACCCGGTGCAAGCTGTGTGAAATCCACATTATTATCTACTCTTTAATTCATTCCAAATATTTATTTCTAACAGGTTATAAGAGGCTGAAAGTAATAATTATTCAAGACTACGTTGTACTTCTAACACTTAAGAAGCAGAATAACCTCGAGAAGAGGCATACGATGCAAAAATAATAGCTGGCTTCAAATTGAAATCAAAGTGTCTCACAGCGCTGCCAATTTCAATGGCCCAATGAAAACTATTGAAATCCACAAATTTTTCCCTAAAGGATAAAGGCTCTTTCATTATATAAAGATACGAATTCATAGAGCCCATGGCATATACTTCTCCCACTTTTTCAGCTTGATAGATCATATTTGGAAAGCGAAGACAAATAAGCAAGCGGGATTCTGCCCAAATGAGCACAGTGTTGTTACCCGAAGTATCATTTATGTTGGCAGTGTTCACTGTTCAGCCAGTTATTTTGGAAGCTTAATTTTCTTTTTCAATTTTTTGAGAGCCTTAAAACTAATTATATATGAATATGCAGGTGTACTGTACAAAAATGATATGCATAACTATTGCAATGGGACAAGGTCTGTTCTATACATTGATAAAGGTGTGAAACCCTGAAATACTCTGATGATCGAAAAATTGCGCCAATTTTAAAAAACACGCTCCGCTTAGAAGGCTCTGGAAAAACTTGCGATGAGGAGAAAAATTGCGGGTTATTACTGTTTAAAGAAAAATAACGTTTTCAAGCAAACGTCGTACAATAGAGGTTTTATTCTCGCTTTCTCTTTAAATGGTGTAATGGTTCTATTTATTATCGTGAATTCAACTTGAGAGTCCATTGCTTTACCTGAAGTTTCGACTCTGAGCGGTTGTTCTTCCTCGGTGGAAGACAGGTGAAAAATGAAGCGTTAGACCTAGTAAGTTGCGTATTAGTGTACTCTTCCAGACTCTGAAGAAGGCGATTCTGTCGAAACGTCAGCTACCGTTGTGTTGTGTATGTTATTGCATGGAAGTAAACGTCTGCTGTTTAAGAACCTAGGGATAGCTGAGAAAGAAAACGACGAGATTATAATCCAGTGCCGAGGCTAATAGAAAGTCGATCCTGGAAAATATCCTTAAGATCAAATATGTTTAGAGCTTTCGGAAAATTGCTGACGAAGTTTAGGTTTAGGTTTTCAAAGTTTTAGCTAAATTAGCGGTATCTACAAACGTAGAAAAATGATTGGGGAACGTCGCTCCATCTTCTGGATGAAAATCTGCTAGCTGATCTTTAACGACACAAACACCTCACTAAAAGCCAAACAACGAACAACAGCTGAATTTGACAATATCTGTTCCCACTGAACTCCGTTTCGAAGAATCGTTTTGCTAATGATAGACTAGTACGGCGTTGTTGCAAATCTTTACTACGACTAACGTTTTGGTTGTTTCGCCTTCATCGGAACCAGGACGGCTCGACGAGTCCAATGCCCGCAGCAGCTGTTCTTCATCTTGCAATATTGGTCTCTGCGGAAGTCGCATCATGACGACCGGAGAACAATGGATCTGCAACACTGATAAAGTTTTCTAACAAGCTTTTGTAAATTTGTCAAAAAAGCAAGGCTCTCAAAATCTATGAGTACGACCAATGGAAGTCGATCTTGACACTATTGCTTTCCAATGCCTCAGTTAATATTATTCTGAAAGGTGCAAGATGGTTCGTCACTGTGAAATAAATAATTTTAATTGGTAATCGACCAATGAACGTCCTCTATCCTGGAAAACTACCGGGTGAAGTTATATCGCATCCGATTAGGTGAAGACTCGTATGATAAGGCAATAGCTAGCTGGTTGACCCTACTTCACTAGTGTGGTGATTGTTAACAACCTCGTTTAAGCTTATCATAAAGCTAGATAGTTAACTTTTCTTTGTGCCGATTTATATTACAGCACTATAGCGGTTACGAGTACTTGTTCTTTTTTAACAAACGTTTCCACAATAGTAGAAGTTCTCCACGACATAATTTATTAAAAATTTAGAAGTTCGAAACAATTCAGAATCAGGTCGGAAATAAGACTCGACGCCGATGTAAATTTTGGGACAACAATCTTCGTTTCCTTTTATTTCGTGCGTTTACTTAGTCCCGCGGCCATGCAGTATTCTTACTAATAAACTTCTTTGCTGCCGCATAATTATTTTTAGTGGTCATCGTGCTTTAACATTAGTAAAATTTTTAAAAACACTTCGGTGTGCTCGAAATCTGATTGCGGTCTCGCCTAACTCTCTCATATAAAGAAAGGAAAAATTTATATGAAGTTTTCAATTGTGGTTGATCATTGGAACCCAATTTACAGGAGCCTGCTTGGTCATATCTCTCCATCGGATCGTCTTCGGGTCTATATCTCAGCGCTGGCAATTGTCGACTTGACAGTACTAATGGTGTTGCTCATTAGAACAATTTACCTCACTTTACCACATTTAATGCTTGGTAAAGCGGATCAGTGGCATCTCTACGACAAAACGATATTAACGACTTCCCTTCTGTTCAGACACAAACAGCTGTCGAGCGATGTTCATCATAGAGCAGACTGTGAAGTTAGCATCACTGACTTTGCTGTCATGTATTAGTATCGAACGCTACGTGGCCGTACGAAAACCGTTTTGCAGTCAGGTACGATCCCGTAGAAAACGTTATCTATCTCATAAAACAATATGTGGAAAACTTTCATCACGAAGAAATCAAAAAAACTAGGAAAATTCTGCAAGAAAAACTGTTGTTAGACATCTTAATAGTTGCCCATCTTTTTCCTTCTTTGCGTGGAAGCAGAAATAGATGAGAACGAGGAGAAATAGAAGCAGTAGAACACAATACTGTTCTGATACGATGAATATTTTCTATATAAGCTGTAATCTTTCCCTTAACATCGAAACAGTCATTCTCTTAAATACTATTGACTACCTTCCTTTGCTTTTTTTTGCGTTAAGAAGGCCATGCTACCACCAAGATTTATCTTCTTTTCTTCATGCTTGTCTAAATTTGTGGTTAGCGCCACCCAGTGCACAGGATTCCTATTCTTTGAGTACAGCTGACGTTATTTATTCTTGTTATAAGGCAAAATTAAAAAACGAGTTAAAACAAACACTAAATTTTTTGGTTCCAACAGTACTCTTAAAGGAGGTCGACCAGGCACCTGATTCTTTCATTTTGTGTTAGAGATTTGAATGGTAAACATCGTTAGAGCGATTATCACGAAACCCTCATATTTTTGGCATGTTGCGCTCTATTTTCATTGCGTTCCAGTCGTGAGGAGGCCTGGTTCGAAATCAATCGCACCAGATTGATTCTTTTAATAATGCTGGAGATCGTTTCATAGCTTTTATTTAGGTTCGAAAGCGATTCATTCGGCTTACACCGATCGCTGCACTTTTACTTTTCGCTGCCTTCGTGATGGCAATTTTCGCACAGGTTTATTTCTTCTTGTCAAAATGACAACTGTATGCAAAGTACTGCATTACTGAATAATCTAAAAATAGCCGAAAAAATAAATTAGCAGCGAGTAATGAGACTGAACCATTATCCAGATGGACTGCGTAAGTCTACACGCTAGAGTTTGAACAGATTTCATTTAAAATTGAGTCGAAAAACGTTGGTTGATTTTCGAAGGCAAGAGAGCGTCAGACTATGTTTCAAAAAAAAATTTTCGCCAAATACTGTTCACTTCCTCATCGGGGCTGGAAGGGGTCCCTGGATGTCAGACTGCGATGTGCAGCGGGGATTCATACCCTGGCAGTGTCTCCAAAGCTGAAAAAGAACCCGGCGTTTCCATCAGGAAGCCTAACTAAGAGTAAACCAATACCAACCCACCACCGTCCCGCTATCAAAATAGTCGCATGGTGGCAAATCTGTCTCTGATCCACAATGGCTGCGGCTTCTTGTCGTGGTCACGACCTGAGGCAGACTTTGGTCAGGCTGTCCTCGGGATTCCAGGGAGCCATAATGGCAAACCAGCAAAACTCCCAAAAAATGGAAAATATGATGGAGCCCGCACAACCAGTAAGGACGGGCCATCCAAGTGCCAAGTGTCCAAGCATGGAAGGCTTGCTCATATAAAGCATTTTCGGTATGTTTCTAAAGAGACTAAAACAAAACTGGGAGTTTCAACATTTGTTCGCACAATGCCCTTTATGTTGATTGATCGTGGGTCTAGTCATTCGATGGTCGTAACAACATTCAAAATATCAAGGGCACAAAATCTTTTATTATCGCGTATTCTGAGAAATATTTATTATTCACTTCCATAAACGATGCTCGGTCAACGGTGATCGTGAAATTGCTTTTTTAAAATTGCTTCGCGAACTGTTCACTGAAAGATTGCGAACCAAGCATGCACTCGCTTTATGTATAAATGCACAGGTCATTATGAAAGTGATTCCAACTGTAGGCAGCATAGAATGGCGCTGAAATCTTAGCTGCCTTTCTTTGTTCATCCTTCTGTCAATGTTGCTAATATGTTTCGGAGTAAAAGGAGTAAGCCCCCTTTATTTTTGCTGTTATTGGTCATCTGGAGGCGCCTGTGTGGAGCAGTGGTCAGAGGTGCCCTCCAACACGTGGAATCGATCCATGTGCTCATGGCCCACCAAGCCCTCCATCGCTCCGGGATCGGCAAATTCGTACCAGACTTGTCTAGGAGGATAGCAGTACTGGCTCGATATATCGGTAGGCCACCGCGAGTCATTGTAAAGGCCTGATATGCATTCAATCACCTCCAAACGATGTTTAATGAAGTCGAATGCATGGTGCACCTCTCAGGATTGATGAACGCAGAGAGCTTTATCCTTTTTTATTCTTCATTGTACTTATAGAGACAACTGTTCTGCCGGACGAATACGCGCTCACGTATGAATGATGCACTTTGGTAAATAAGATTGCTTGCATACACTGAACATACGTCAGCCCGAATAGAGACAGGGAATTATTCCATCCCTTTCCCTTATCCTACTTAAATATTAAGTGATGTACCTTACCGCTATTGCACACATTTAATCCCTATTTCTAGCCTGTGTAAAAAGAGTTATTTTACCTTGAGAATAAGCTGCATAGAACTTCTTACATCAGCATGACATCTGAGAAGTTTACAGCCAGTCTACAAGAAAGAAAAGAAAATTTTTCAAAGTGATGCTTTGAATATTTAAAGCAATCACATGTTGAACCGTGCCTTGTTGTATTGGTAAGCGTAAGCTATACGGTAACGCCTAAAATAAGTTCTAGCAAATGAGCCAATACACCAGAAACTTAGCAGTTAGATCAGTTAAATACAATTTTTCAAGTCGGCTATCAAAAACGTATGATCAATAATTCCCAGGATCGACTTTCTATTAACCTCGGCATTGGAATATGAATGTGTCGTTTTCTTGTTCATCAATCGCGAGGTTTTTAAACAGCATACATTTACTTCCATAGAAAAACACAATACAATACAACGCTAGCTGACGTTTCGGCAGTACCGCCTTCTTCAGAGCCGCTTTTTCGTGACTTCCAATAAGGAAGTTTAGAACAACTGATTATAGTCGCATGTGGTTGACGACTGCTATGGAAGTAAATGTATGCTTCCATGGAAGTAAATGTATGCTGTTTAAAAACCTCGCCATTGCTGAACAAGAAAACGACACATTCGTATAATCAATACTTCAAAATAGTATGCTCGAATTCGTACGAATAAAGCTGCCACAAAGGGCTATTCGTCGTTGTCATGCAGAGACTCTCAAACTTTACTTCTTAAATTTCACAATATATTATGCGAGCTTAACTAGAATAGTAACGACATGACGATGTCAAAACAGAATAGAGAGATAATAAGATCAATAAACGAGAGGGACATCATAAATGAGAGGTCACTCTCGAGATAAGAGTTTGCCGTAGGATGGTGGAGTAACATGTGCCATTAAAAGTAACATTAAAAGTGCCATCTGGAAACATAATGACAGCACCAGAAACTTGACATACTAAAACGCTCATTTAGAATTGTGCTACGTTTGGTCAGCCAGTAATCATTAAAAGAGCGATATGCGTGATATATTACAGTAATTATGTGCAAATAGAGTTTAGCAATTGGAATGTACAAATATAGATGAGCAAGCAGGAGTGTGAGAGCAGAGAGAGCATCTAAGCGAAAGGATAGGATGTCTACTGGTTCCAAAGATTGGCGGGTGTCAGTCAATAGCTGTATATCTTAAGCAGTTCATGTGACCAAACATCTTGATTTTTCTGGCAGGTGCAATCAGTAGCAACTTCGTCAAGCAGTCTGAACTGTGTACGCACTCAGCGCGGTAAGAGAGTATCTCGATTGGGTGCATATATCACTGCTGTCGCTTTCTTCACCAATCTTGCTACCATCTCGGTCAGCTACGGTCAAATATTAAGACATGTGCGACACAAGTTCGTCAAAAGAAAGGCTAGAGGTAAGTATTGTGATCCTTCCTATGCCCACATTATTACATTATATATGGGGAGCTTGTGGCGCAGTGGTATCATGTGCTCAGCAATACACATGGAATCGATTGCTGCGTCCATGGCCCAGCAGCCCTTCCTACCCTCCGGGGTCGACATATTGGTACCAGACTTGTCTGGGAGGATAGCAGCACTGGCTCGCTACGTCGGTAGGCCACTGCGAATTACTGTAGAGACCAGAAATGCATTCAATCACTCCCAAAGGTGCTTAGTGAAGTCGAATGAATGGCGCATCCCTAAGGGATTGATCAACGCCGAAAAGTTTATCCCTTGTTTTTTAACTGTTTATTAGATATAAATTGATTATTCGCAATTAGAAGAATATAAAACTATTTAGAAAAAACTTCATTTCCTGGTCAAAAGCTAAATTTATGCATATCTAAAAAATGTTCTTAGTGTATTTATTGTTAATTCTTCTCAATTTATTTGTTGTTAATTTAATGCTTGTTTTGTACTATTTTCCTATTAATCTTTACTTGCCTCCCTATTTACTTCCATTTAGTTTTAAAAATCGAACAACATTTAACGTTCTCATGAATGATCGGTGTTTCGCTAGATTATTAAGCTAAAACGAGGTTGTTGAAAAATTTTGTTGGGCTGACCTTTCGACATTCGCCATCTTTAGAGCTGCGTTCAGCTGTTTGTCTAAGACCGTTCATGCTTGCAATGTGAGTCTTCGTGTTCGCATTGAGTCGAATCTTCTAGATTGGAGCACTATTGTTTGAAAAATACTGGTTCGTTATCTGACAGTCAATGTAATATCGACTCCTGCAGGATTCATTATCATCACTGAAGGAAGCCATATCGGAAGCTAATAGATGAACAGCCGCGTTCGCATATTGAGGGAAAACTTCATTCTAGCGCTGCTCCACATCAAAAGATTCGAGTCCTTGCCATTACGAGAGCTTAAATCACAAGGACGAACGGTTGTGGACAGCCGACTTGACTCCTCGTGGTACTGAAGGATGCGACTGCCCTGAAACGTTAGCCGAATAGAACATTCATTCAAGGACTTCGTGTTGGCACAATAATTAAGGAAAGCATTTAGTATCATTGCTACTAGTATTATTCTCAGTGCTAGTACCTAGGCTTGAACAGTGACAGTTCGTAAGAAGGAATTATTCTTTTGCTTTGTGCAGTGATTTCATATTTAAGTCTCTCCACGAACAGATGATTTTGTAGTGGTGGCAAACTCAAAGTCGCGGCAATCGGTAGTGGCCGAACCGCGCTACATGCGTGAAATGACAAGCGCCATACTTCGAGTATTCGTGTTTCATGTAGTGTGCTGGCTGCCGTCATGTCTGCTTTTGTTTCTTCCGGATACACCCATCGTCTCCGAGTTGGGCAATACAATTCGCCTCTTCAACAACTTTACTGACTTTAGGTAAACTGTTTTTTTAAGCCCTTTCGATGCTAATATATGGGAGAAAGTACAATTATGGGTTACGCGTAGTTGAAGTCTCATGATTCATCAGTTCTCTAATTTGTTGCTGTGCGCTCTTAAACAAGCCAAGAAGGGTAAGAATGTGTTGACATCTTATTATTCATTTCATTGGGAACTGTTTTATTCCTGATTAATTGCTTTGAACATGAGTTCAAGTATGAGAACAACTGTTTATATTGACATATTTGTAGTGCACAACGAATTTTTTCTTCAGAAGGGAGTTTCATCGGTGAATTTTCGAGCCTAACTCGTAGGAAATCTCACCCATTGATTTGTCGTTGGAGTGCGAATAAGTGTACATGTGCAATTATATGTGAAAGGATATAATTATGTAAAGAAAGCACAAAACTTCTCCCATGTTTACATAACACCTTGGTGTTAGCTTACCAGTACAACAGCCTGTTGTGATCTCATTGCTTCGCGAATTTCCGATAGAGCATGAAAAGGAAGGGTCCAAAAATTTAAAGTGCTGGTCTTGTTGTAGCCGTGTTCTCGAAGTAAAAGGGTTTCCGTGATGGCAGAAAGACTTCAGGTGGACTAACGATCGTGAACAAAAAGATGAAAGCACAACACAACACGCGATTGCGTATTTCAAACACTATGCTGTTATTTTTCTTCGTATTTTTGTTGAGCAAACGCGAGGTGTTACTATTCTTTGTTCGCGATTAAGCTGACGTTTCGGCGGATTTCGCCTTCTTCAGAGCCTGGAAAGGTCAAGTTGATAGCAATCCACTCGGCCAGACGCCTCCATAACCAAACAAAGAAACTCTAAACCAAGATTTCAATCACACTGAACACAGCTTTGCACACTCACCGCTTTCTATGAGGTTTCCACTAAGTATGTCACGTAGAGACCAACAGCACAGAAATCACATGGAAGTATAATGTGCTCCTCACATCAGAAAAGCAGTTTAAGCAGAAAAGCACTTTGCTGTTAATATTACCGTTGTCAAATTAGTTTTAGTGCGATACGTTGTATGATGTTTCTCGCCAACTGGTTGACGTATGCAAGTGCAGCAGGAAATTGGATATTTTATGCGGCATTAAATCGTGAACTTAGGAACATGATACGGTAAGTCCGCATTTGCATATCCATGGCCCACATGTTATTGACCAGTAGAGAAGAACTCTGTGCAGCAGCTGAAAATTAGCACACCCATCAACGATTTCTAGTAATGAAAGTCCTCATTAAGCCATTCTGTCCTCAGAGAAATTTTCTACTTAGTCGCCATGGAGTATTTTTTCGGACTGGACGTCTTTATCTGTGAACTCTCGAGCAGTGTTGTCTCGCATAGAAAATCGTACTTGCATGTAACGTGTAATCCGTGTCCAGCCCACACTATCCTCTTCCACGCTGCGAAAGAATAATAGATTTCAAACCGGAATGTCAATCAGGAGTGCAGTAGGGCCAGGAATTACTGAGGTGTTATTAGAAAACTAGTGACACCGACGAATGGTTCCTTCTAACCCATGATGACGGCGTCTGTCTTTCGTAAAGCTCTGGAGGGACTCTAGTAAGCATTCTGAAGCAAATCACTCTCAATTTTTGTTTAGAAACATTTACGAAATGAATAATACTCGCGAGTCAAATCCGCCCACGAGCCCGAGCACCTTCGTGGAAAACAGACTCTGGACAACGAATCCGGTGAATGTGTTGTGATGCATACAATAGTTTAAGAAGGGTGCTAATGGCACTCTGACGGTTGATTGCCGATGATCCTGTCAAATGAGAAACTAGCTAAGAGAAAGGCGAAACTAAGAGCCCGCATGGTGTAGTGGTGAACACCTTAGCCCCCAGAAAGGATAATAGCGGGTTCAGTCCCCACCGCAGACATCTGCAGTCAGAGAATTTACAAATATATCACCATCATTGTAATTGAATTTCATATAATGCTCTACTGTAAAAAATTATAATAGACTGGGAACAAAAGCTAGCGTTTAAGAACAGTCTTATACAAATACTTCAAGAATTGCATTGTCAATGCACAGGAGCAGACTTCTTCCTCTCTTCCATCGAAAAAGAGGCAATGAGCAAAATAGGCTTAGAATATTAATTTGACTTAAATGGACCCGTTAACTTAAATCTTGACTGTCTCAACTCCTAGTTTTATTTTCTTTTTGGCAATTGTTTCTTGTTGCCTGACGGTTTCTTTCCTTGTTGGACCACTTTTTCTAAGGTATGTTAAAAACACATTCTGAAAGCTGCATCAGGGTCTTGCAATAGTGATAGGCGGTAGGTAAGAGTTAGGAAACGAAGTAGGACAGGGCAGGTTTTCCTCGATGCCACTAAAAGATTCTTCCAAGTTGAGGACTTTGTAAAAAAAACCGGCCTTCATTCAAATTCACCGTGATTAATGAATATCTTACCTAGCTGTTTTTCTAAAATGAGATTATTAACAATTTCGGAACGTGTGACATCAATGGGTTAATAGTTTTGCGGGGGTGGCCGGTATTTTACCTTTTATAGGCCTCATTTTTTCCGATAATTTCGTTATGCTGACAGTAATGATTAGGTTCAATAAAAAAGATGACAAGAAACACGGAGGTGTAAGAAAGGTAGCGTCTTCTCTTATTTCTGCAAATATGGTCGACCTTTGAATATGTTGTGCACTCGGGAGATTGGCATTTCCAGCAGCGACTGGGCGGGCGATCACGTAGTATTTGAGAACACCAGTGGACTCGAAAAAAGATCTGCGCCTGTGGAAATTGTTCTGGTCGTATAAGGTAGCCAAGAAGCACTCTTCATTGAATGTTATATATTGCTCTTTATTGGATCTTTTGGTGAATATTTTGAGCACTTTCTTACCTTGGACGACCTTCTTTCGCGGGTAGAGCCCTCGCTGCGCATTGTAGTTCGTCAATAAGAAACCTTGCCATGAAAGACTGTACAATTGGCAAAAAAACGGCTTTCTACAGTAAGCTCTCCATGTACTTCTTCTTTGGAAAATGTTTCTTGCGGCCTAAACGGAAGTCATGTTTACTAGTGGCTAGAGGTACGGTGCCTTGCCATACACACGCAATCCGTGGTTCGATCTGGAGCTCCAAGCTAATCAAGCTTTAACTATCCCTCTCCATCACGGTTAAACTATATTTGGCTGGCAGGATAGCAGCACTGATTTAACAGATCGGTAGGCTATCTGTGAGTGTATGAGCCAAATATCCATTAAATCACGGTGTTTGATGAGCGCATGGCCCGTCTTCTATTAATTGGTTGACGCTGAGAGCTCCATCCCATTTTTTATTATCTACTGATTGATGATGACGTATTGTTTTTAGTTTAGAAATTCAAAACTTGCCAAAAAAAGCTTATTGTTTAACAGATTTGCAACGGAACGACGGAGAAGATCAATGATGTCTCACGCTTCTACGCATCTGGATACGAACCGCAATTTACGTCATGAGGTATTCAAAGTTACCTGTTTTCGTTCCTATCTCCCCATTAACTGGAAATTGTTAGAAAAATAATTTTGACTTTTTAGGAACATTGTTTAAAAAACAAAACTCGTCTTGGGAAAAAAGGTAGGTAGGCGTTTTCTACTGTCATTTCGGTCTTATACATAGTGAGAGGCGCCTTTTCGGAATAATTGCTTGAGTACTTCAAGGTTGGCCAGTATTCTCCATAAGTGCTTACACCAGTACATCCCCTATTCCTCGCTCTACCAAAAAACTGTCGTTCATGATGGCAGTTTCCTTCGAAGATTGTGATTTGCACTGGAGTCATGGAGTTGTAAATAAAGGATTTACTGCAGCGAAAACTTCTGTTAGACATGGTTCAAAACAGATGCGTTCATACTGCAGCCTTAGATTGGTGCTTGAAATTCTAGATGAAGACAATCTTCTTGTGGTACATAGAAAATACGATCAACAATAAACAAATAAAGATTTATTACGAGTATCATATTTGGTGTTTCCGGGCGTTGGATTGCGATGTACTCCGGGGAGATTCGTCTTCCCAGCACGGTCTCCCAAGCTGAGGAGTGCAGCGTTTCCATCAGGAAGCCTAGCTAAAAGTAAACCGATACCAAGATCCGCCACCGTCTTGGTATCAAAGTTGCATGGTGGCAAATCTCCCTTTGATCCGCAAGGGCTGCGGCTGCCCGTGGTAATGACGACCTGGGGTAGACTTTGCCTAGGCTGCACTCTTGATTCCAGGAAACTACAATGGCTTAACCAGCAAATTTCCGAAAAATGGTGATTATGCTGAGGCTCGCACAACTAGTGAGAACGGCCCGTTCAAGTACCAAGTATCAAGTAACCTCTTATGAAAATGCGGTAAATGGATACCCACTGGTACTCTCTTACGAAATGCAACATTCTATTTCGTCGGTAAAGAATCGAACAGCACCAGGTCTGGACAGGACAGCACCTCAACACCTGAAAAACCTTCCACCAGTCATCATAAACAAACTCGCTCGAGCTAAGACACTTTCTCCGCCGCTGTCTAAAACATCAAAACTCGCTCGGCTTTACACGCTTTACCTCTCATAATGTATGGTTACTCTTCAGCGGAAGAAAAGCAAGCCACTATTGTTGTTTAACAAAATTAACTTCCACGATATCAGCAACTCGCTCAATCTGCTTGCTGTCTATCGTCAATGTACTCTTTACTAGAGTTATCCTAAACAGGATTAACAAAGCACTCGGCAGAAGGCAGTCATGCGAGCAAGTAGAGTTTCAAAAACGATTCAGTGCGATGGACCATATACATACGATGACAAGACTCACTGAAGTGCCACAACACTAAGGATAACCGCTCAGTCTCACTTTCGTCGATTTAAAGAAAGGTTTTGCCTTAGCTTGGATAGAAGCATTTATAGAGCCCAGCAACAAACAGACCGTCCCCACGTGGTATACAAAGTTTTTTCGTGACCTGTACAAAATTTTTAAAACCAAGTTATCGCCACTCTCTAACCATATTACATCGACGTTCAAGGAAGGACTTGCGATGCCGTCTCTCCAAAATCATTTACTGCCACCGCCCAGGCCACTATGTGACCTTTCGAGTCACTCGACGATCGAGTGACAGGACGGCAGGTGATACTAGTGATTACATCGGTCGCTGTTTTTGACAGGATCGCGAAAAAAGTTTTAACTGGCCAGGAATCTTTCCGTTTTAAAATAAACTGATTCTAGTTCTTGGCTGTGGGCTGGGAGAAAACGGACCGTGATGTGCTTTTTTTCTTGATCAGTGTCTCTATTCATGCAGCTGGCGAGACATCAGATATCAGAGTAAAATTCCAGAATGGTTTCTCTCCTACAGGAGTTTTGGTGGTCTGGATCAATAGGCTTAAAAAAGAAGGGTCGGGGCAGAACTTTTCGGTCATAATTTCTTCACTAAGGAACGTTTACACTGCTACTGCATCTTTATTTCTCGAAGTTGATAATGGAGCACAATATTTTCATTTCTCCTTTCTTCCTAAGGAACTCCATAGTTATGCTGGAAAAGCTATACTAGCCCATTCGCTGATGAAGTGAAACATGTTCGAAACAATTTGTGACGCTAAAGATGAATACCAGTTTCCGTCTCCGGCCTGATGTAATCAGTTAAGTAGAGAATTTCGTGTATTATGCTATCGACATAAATATTGTGTATTGTCTAGGCAGTGCTACAAAATATGGTCTACTTTACACCTGTGTCATATCTTCGCATGCAGAAAAGAGTAGACATAGCCAGTGGGCCATGAAGGCTCTGTTTAAATACTGACTTTAAAAATATTTAAAAAAGCATTATTCTCTATTTTTAGGGAGATGATCGATATCCACACTTTCCTATTAAGAAATTTTCACTCAGAGCCTTAGTTATTATTTATCCAGAAATATTAGTGTCAATGAAGTAGACACACTGCGGATAGAAGTCTGTAAAACAATCATCATTGGCTTCCGGATCCCTATTCCGAATTATCCAATTATTCCGTATTAACGCTTGCACGCCTGTTCTACTTCGACATTTAATTTCTAACAACAATATTGCTAGCTATTTTTCTGCGGATCACTTCTTCCAACCTATCACATAGCACAACCAATTCATTCTCATCATTTTCAGAGTTAGTCGTTAGCAACTGTTGATATTACAAAATGATTACAAAGATTCTAAGATGCAAGCGAAACCCGGGATCCCAGGTGGATTTTGAATCCGTGATTACCCGCATATCTTTATCGGTTGCTCATGCGTAATCCACCACGTCTGCCGAAGAGCCTGCTTTGTCTTTCTCTCGGGCAGTTTCTTTTTACTCTAACGGTACCATCAGCAACCATCCGTCAATGGAAATAATCTGTGAAGCACAAACCAGAATTGAACCTAGTTAAGTCATTGCTGTCATCGAAATCAAAATGGTTCAACTTTTATTTACTGCTTTTTCAATTGTCGGAGCAAGTGAGGAACAATGACGGGAGATACAGAAGAGATGGTGGGCGCGTCTACAAAATTGCATAGGAATAACCGACTACGATTTGTTAGCGAAGAAACTCAAACGTGGCTTGGATTTCGGCAATTAAATGAAAACGGTATCAAACTTCATTGCAACTCGAAAATAACAGCACCGCTAGAGTAAGAAATACTGGATGAAAGAAAGGGAAAAATTGTCTCGGTTGGTGTGGAGGATATCACCGAGACTCTAGTAAAGTCACAGTTGTTGCCAATAATCTCTTTTCTTAGTAATTACCAAAGGAGGCAAAGAATTGCCAGACCAAATGAAAGGGAATGAGTCGAAGAGACTACCATGATTTAAGCTTCATACTTTCAAATTTTTTTCTGACGAGGTCTGCGGTCTATAAATGGTACGGGTCATGTCTTTCTGCTCTCGAGCAAGTCGATGATCTGCTTAAAAAGTGGGAGCGCACAGCAATGAAATCCTGAGCGCTGCAATGTCCTGCGCTCGTT